GTCCACCCAATTTAAAGGATGCTGGCTGTGGAATTCTGGGAGTCGAAGTCCATCCATCTAAAAATGGCCAAGTTTGACAAACCTTGGAGAATATGATCTATGCCACCCTGTTCCAAAGCTGGAAAGAGACATCCGATTAAAAATTCTCCTCAAATGAGCAAAGGCCCTTTTCGCTTTCAGCACACTTCGATTCTGCTTTGGGGGGCGAGGGGGCTTCTCTGAAATGGGGCTCACCGGCTTCGGGAAGGGTTGCAGTCCTGACCCCACCCACCCACGCAGTCCTAACGTTTGTGTTTCAGACAATGTGGGAAGATTCCGACTGAGCACTCGCTGTTCCTGCGATGGCATACGAAACGATCTATCAATACAAATTGAAGGTAAGAACTGGGCAATGGGGAGTGGGCTTGGGATGAGGGGTGGGTGGGCTGCACCCACTTGAAGATCTCACCTGACCCCCCCCAGTGGTGGGATTCAAAAATGGTTCTGTGGGTGTGGCTTGGTGGGCGTGGCAGGGGAAGGATACTACAAAATCCCCATATCCTCCCCACCCCACTAACCTGCTTTCCAGCTCCGTTCTCCTGGGCAGGGCAACCAAAGGAGACCCAGCCGATCAGCTGGGACTCAGGAGGCGGAGAATAGATGGGATTTGCGGGGCCAGTCAGAGGCGGTATTGGCCGGTTCTCCAAACTATTTTCAATTTTCCGCTACCGGTTCTCCAGGACTGGTCAGAACCGGCTGAATACCACCTCTAGTCCCTATGTTATATTATAAGAAAGAGGCTGAGAGTTTGGAAAAAGTTCAGAGAAGAGCAACTCGGATGATTAAAGGCCTGGACACTAAAACATATGAAGAACGGTGGCAGGAATTGGGTTTGCCCAGTTTTAAAGAAAAGAAGGCCTAGGGGAGACAGGATAGCAGCCTTCCAATATCTCAGGGGCTGCCCCAAAGAAGAGGCAGTCAAGCTATTCTCCAAAGCCCCTGAAGGCAGGACAAGAAGCAGCGGACGGAAATTAGATATGGAGAGAAGCAACCTAGAACTGAGGAGGAAAAAAAAAGTGACGTTATATGTTTTTATAAAGTCTTTTTAGACTTTATACATCTTTCGTAAGGCCAGATCTGGAATATTTGCGACCAGGTTTGGTCACCACGTTACAAAATAGATGTTGAGACTTTTGGGAAAAGGGCGGAGAAGAGCAACTAGGATGATTAAAGGCCTGGAAGCTAAAACATATGAGGAATGGTGGCAGGATTTGGGTTTGGCTAGTCTGGAGAAAAGAAGGACTAGAAGGGACATGATAATAGCAGTATTCCAATATTTGAGGGGCTGCCACAAAGAAGTGGGGGTCAATTGATTTTCCACAGCACCAGAAGGCAGGACAAAGAAAGAATGGACGGAAACTAATCCAGGAGAGAAGCAACCTGGAATGAAGGAGAAACTTTCCTAACAGGGAGGACAATTAACCAGTGGAACTGCTTGCTACCAGAAGTTGTGGGTGGAGGTTTTTAAGAAGAGACCCTTGTGTCAAATTGTATAGGGTCTCCTGCTTGAGCGGGGGTGGGGTGGGGTTGACTGGAGGACCTCCAAGGTCCCTTCCGCCTCAACTCTGACGGAGGGATTATCTCTACAACATCCCCGACGGGGATGTGACATTGTAGCCAGGAAAGAAAAGCTCTCAATGCAGCCCCGTAGGCTAAAGCTGTGGTGGACGCTAAAAGCCGCAAGGGTCAGGGCTGCCCAGCAGGCAGGATCAAACCCCCGCCAAGCCCGGCTTCCTAGCCTGTTAGAGGACTCCAGTCCTCCTGCTTGGTAAACAGAAGTTTGTGGGCCAGTGTGGGACGCATCAATGCGCGCACTGTATTCACAGAGCACATTGCAGCGGCGGCTATTGCAAGGCTCGTCCCAGGCGAAGGATAATTTGCAGAGAATGGAAAAGGGGTGGGAGGAGAGAAACACACATTCAGAAGATAAAAATCTTTGCCCTAATGGGGGGCGGGGGAGAGACTCAGGCCCTGACCAGAGGCCTCACCTGCCTTCCCCCCCGGATGCCTAACCCCCGTTTTGCACATCGCCGCTGCCTGCAAAACGTCACGCCGGAGAAATATCAACTCACACCGTCCGTTTTTCTTCTGGGAAATTGGCTCTGCTGACTTCCTCCTTCTGATGCCGGCTGTTCTTTCAGCCCAAAATTTTTTTGGGGGGTGGGGAGGCTGGCAGGGGGGGATGTGTATACGAGCTGTGCCAAGCCCAGTGACTCAGGTGTGCATGCGTGTGTGTGTGTGTAAGTCTCTCTCTCTCTCACGCACACACACACCATGCGATACAGCCTGCTGAGAATCTCCTTTACAAGGATTGATGAAAACTGTGCATACTGGCCCAGATTGTCCCACTGCCGGAGTTATGTCAGCTAAAAGAGTAAGTTAACAGTATAACAGCGTTGAAAGGGACCTTGGAGGTCTTCTAGTCCAACCCCCCCCCCCCTTTCAAGGAGGAGGCCCTATACCGTTCCAAACAAAGTGGTTGCCCAATCTCTTCTTAAAAACCTCCAGTGTTGGAGCAGCAAATTGGTTAATTGTTCTCACCATCAGGAAATTCCTCCTGAGTTCTAGATTGCTTCTCTCTTTGGTTAGTTTCCACCCGTCTCTTTTTTCTTCTGCCCTCCGATGCGTCTGGACAGTTAGGTTGACTCCCTCTTCTCTGTGACAGCCCCTCCAATGTCTGTGGAGATTCTCAATTGTCCAGGTCAAAGGTTGTATGGAAGGTGCTTTTTTTTTTTTTTCAAAAGGCAACTGGACTTTCTTGGGGTTTCTTTTTTTCTTGAAGACGTTTTGCTTCTCATCCAAGAAGCTTCTTCAGTTCTGATTGAATGGTGGAGGATGGAAGGATGTATCTTCCTTGCAGTCCTCTGGTCGTTAGCACTCTTCCTGAGAGTGCGGGGTCAAAGAGGACATAGAGGTGCAGATGACAGACTCAATTATTCCATTCATGGATGAGAAGCGAAACTTTAAAAAAAACAAAAAACTAAGAAAGTCCAGTTGTCTTTTTGAAAAGCACTTTTGGAACAGTTCCTCAGATATTAGAAGACTGCTATCATGTCTCCCCTGGTCCTTCTTTTCATTAAACTAGACATACCCAATTCTTGCAACCTTTTTTTTTGCCTGTTTTAGCCTCCAGCCCGCCCTAATCATCTTGGTTGTTCTTCCCTGCACTCTTTCCAGAATCTCAACATCTTTTTTTTCCATCAGGGTGACCGAAATTCTGCACAGGACCCTGGCCATCATGATGGCAGCCATGCACAGAGTCCACTATAGGTGTCCTCCTTGTCAGGCATACACGCACACTTCTCTTAAGAACGTTGCTGCCAAAACACACCTTATTTCCACCCAAATTAGAACAGAGGCACCCCTGGTGAGCTCAGCAATTTCTCCTTCCTGTTTCAGACTCACAGTTTCCGCCTCTCGCCGGCCGGCCGTT